GTGTGTGTGTGTGTGTGTACGTTGTCTATTTGTTGTGTGCCGTTTTCCTTCCATTCCCCCGTCCCCCTGTTACCCATTTGTGTTGTACAGCTCTTTTCTCCGTGCCTGACCACAAGCATAATGAACACGTGTAATGATATTGGGGTGACCATATCATTGCGCATAATTAATTAATTAAATAGTTAATTATTTACATATTTTATAATTAATTGTGCAAATTGGGACATGCACACACTCCAAAAGAAATTCCTTTCAATGTTTTTTGCTAATGATTTTGCTACGGTAAATTGGATCGCTTATAAAAATAAAAGCACACCTCCCACAGCCGAGCCGGTCGTTTTGATGTAACATATGTGGGGGTGCACGCAGGCACCCCCACATATGTAACGATAGAGCCCCGTTAAAGTCCGCAGAAGAATAATGGTGAAGGGATCAAATCCTCTGGTGAAGAACATTAAGGGCCCTGCCAGAGCAGCAGGTCCCTTAATAAACTGAAACAATCACTTCCTCCTAGATTTTTTGTTATGTTTTCATGAGAGATCTTGCCTTGCTCAGATTATCTTTTAGTTTCTATAATATTTAGGAGCTTATTATGCAAAAATAAAAAATTCAAGACCTAAAATTTGAAAAATACGATCGGGAAAAGCTTTGTTGACCATATGAAAACTCTAACACTTTAGGAAGATCTGCTTCCTTTAACTGAATGGAAACATCTCTAGATCAGAGCACAGCCACAAAAGCATATTTAACACTCAACAGCTTCTGGATATTTTAAATACTGAAAAAAAAAAAGAAATTGGAAACAATGTCACTTTTGAAACTGCACATCAGGAAACTCTCCAGTACGTTTTCAGCCTTTGGAAAGGGATTAAATGTGCATGAAAAAAATAAAATAAAATATAACCACTGTGGTTCAAACAACAGAAAAAAACAAGTTTCAAAGTTATTTTAGTTGTTCAATAATGATCAGGATACGAACACATGGCAGCACATTGGGTGCCTACAAGCCCTTCAAATTTCATTAGTCAGGAAAGTCTCAAAGGCTAAACCAGCTCAGGAACCCAGGAACACATTCTCAATGACATTAAGAATTAATAAACACAAAACTAATGTTACAGAAGAAATGTTAGCAATCAGAGTAATACCCGAGAATTATCATGTGTATGTACGTACACAGGAGCGCGCGCGCGCGCACGCACACACACACACACACACACACACACACACACACACACACGCACACACACACACACACACACACACAAACACACACACCAGTTCAGGAGTAAGTAATGGCACTCGCCAAGCTGTCAGATGAGAATCATCTTAATTAAATCCCAGTGACAATTCTAATAGGAGGCAGCCATGACTGATGACTAAGATCTGCCGCTGGTCACATCACTGAAGTACTCTCTATTTTTACCCCTCTCTTTCATTCTGTCCTCCCTTACATCCAATTTCCCCACTCACTCATTTTATCATCCCTCGTTTCTTCTTCCCGACTCTCCCTCTGTGCCTTAACCTCCACTTTTTTCTTCGTTTCAACCTTTTGAACTCCTTCCTTATTGTTAGCTTTCACCATATTTTTCCTTCTGGGTCACTTCATAAAGGTGTTCTTGCCCCCGAAACACCAATTACTGAGGAACGACATTATTCAAAGTGGGTACAGTGGATACGAGTCTGAAAGCCTCAGTATTTACTTCAGTTCATCCGTTTGTTTGTTTCCTAAAAGTTCACTTAGGTTTTCAGATGTTAGTTTCTATTCAGTTTGCTCCCCACCACAGCATTTAATTCGGTTCAGGTCTGGATTCTGACTGGATCATTGCAGAACAGGGAGGGAGGGAGGGAGGGAGGGAGGGATGGATAGAAGAGGGGGGTGGATGGATGGATGGAAGGAGGAGGAGGATGGATGGATGGATGGATGGATGGATGGATGGATGGATGGATAGAGGAGGGGGAGGATGCATGGATGGATAGAGGAGGGGGGAGGGATGGATGGATGGATGGACAGATGGATGGAGGAGGGGGGAGGGATGGATGGACGGATGTTCGGATGGATGCATAGTTTTTACACTAACCTGTATGCAACGGCCAGAGCCCAGGAACAAGCAGCACAATACAGGGAATCCCGAACTTTTGCCTCCTTGCAGTTGGAGTAAGTCCTCACAGGGAAAAGGCCGGTGGTAGGACTCTGGTAGTTCAGAATGGTCGTCTTAACTAAACATTGAGAAAGACAGATAAAGAGTGTGAAAGGAATTACTCAACAAATCTCAAAAAACTGTTTAATCAGCAGAGGTACATATACCAGAGAATGCTGCTAAACACCTTCATCTTTACACAACGGGTAGATGTAAATGGAGTCATGCACTTTTAGATCACCCTATTCCCTACACCAACACAAACTACCCACAATTATTTGACTGTTAAGAACTAGGGGGGATTCATGTCTCCAAGAAGACGTTTGGACCAGACATGACTCATTGGTGGGTCAAGATGTGTCTTCATAGCATATTAGTGTAATATTTGTATGAAGTTTGAAGCTAAAACGAATGCCTTGGCAGAATGTTTTAGCAGCTGGCAACTAAAGAGTAAATTGTAAAACATACAAGGCTGTAACCAAGCATATGCTAGACTAAAAACCCAGTAATAAAAGGCCAGTTTCACAGAGAATTAAAAGCTAAACAAAAAAAAAAAAGGTCTGAAGACAAGTTAAAATGAAATAAAATACTGGTTAAAATGCTGATTGGTAGAGCACATCTAAAGTCTCTACAACAAACTGAATCAGCAAATGAATTTAACAAGAAAACAATTTGTGAAAATATGGAGTTATTTGAAGAAAAGCAAAAAATAATTGCATTGCATTATTATTACCGTTATATTATTACAATTATTATATTGTTACTATTACTGATGTACATTAAACTAAAGCCCTTATTGCCCCAAAATCAAAAAATGTAAAAGTGGAACGTTTTCATAGCCTTTTTCTTGGTGAGGAAGTGAAAGGGTTAAAGCTACAATCCATAGTTTTCCACCCTTTCAGGATATATGTATGATTTTTTTTAGAAATCCGTGAAGGTGATAGTCTTACCCTGTACTTCGAAGTAATGTAGGAAATATGTCATTTATTTTTATTTTGGTAAGCTCGTCCCTCATCCCGTAGAGGCCTGTGCATTTTGAACCGACCGCCGTTCAGCATTAACCAATAGCGTTAGACGCTTACACACAGCTGTCAATCACAGAGCGTGCACGAGCGTTTGAGGATGTCCCTAGACTGATGCAGAGTGTGCGACCTTTCTCGTGAACAAGTCTTTAAAATATTTATACATGAAGAAAAAACAATACATGAGAATAATAATACAACGTGTTTTAGTTCTGTTTGTTGGCGAGAGGTGCACATTCATGAATGAGAGGCGTTGCTTTTGCCCATAAAGACCAGCTCAGAAGCCTAGTGGTAGAGTGTCCGCCCCGGGACCGGGAGATCAGGGTATACCTTAAAAACGGGACCCAATACCACCCCGCTTGACACTCAGCCTCAGGGGGTTGGATTGAGAGGTAAAACCCCCATATAGTTCTCGAGCACGGCCACAGCTGCAGCTCACTGCTCCCCATGAGGATTGGTCAAATACAGAGATGTAATTTCACCAGTGTGATCATGCCCAGTGGAACTTTAACGTTAACTTTAAATACAAAGGGAAAACAATGGCATATGGTGCAATGCGCTTATCAGCCACTAGGTGGAGTCGTTGGATAAAAAATACTCCAGACAGGGAGAGGGAGCTCTGAGAGCGTCCAACTGAACCAGTTGGGGATCCACAACAAAGGCTTTGTAGGTGGCAATCAGAGTTTGGGTAGTCCAGTCCTGAGAGGTGATAACAACACGTTTGACAGATTCTGGAAGCTTTTTGCTCAGGATGGGTTTTGGCAAATTGTAATTTTTGCCATATTTTTTAGAGAAGTGGTTCTAAATATTGGTCCTGGAGGGTGGGTATCCAGCACGTTTTAGTGGTTTCTCTGCTGCAACACACTTGATTCAGTGGTTTAATCACTCGTTCAGCAGCTCATCAGGCTCTGCAGAAACCTGTTAACTACCTGCTGATTGAGATCAGGTGTGTTGAAACCGATTTAAAACTAAAACATGCTGGATACTGGCCCTCCAGAACCAGGATTGAGAACCACTGCTAAACATGAAGGTTGCCCACTCCCTCCGCATCTCTAAACATCCATAAACAACCAAGCAAAGAATAGATGTGAGACATTTTGTCTGCAACTCAATTTTACGTAACATAGGAACACTTGGTCTTCATTACAAGGAGACAGAAATGGTTATAATTTGACCATCAACTGCTTGTCAACCAAGCAATGTTAGCCAAATAAAACTGAGTCCCTCTAAGAGTGTTGGAATGTACTGTATGGTGAAACAAACGGACTTCCTTTTCTCCTGACATCGTGTTTTAAAGGAAATTAAGAAATGTCCTGTTAGCACTACAACAACTTGCTCAAAACCTACACTTCTACTGAACAACATCCATCTGTAAAATGCACCTTTGTTCAACTGTTTTGTGCAGATTTTTGAGACCCTATGACTAAAAAAACCCTATTCAATCGACATTTCACGTGTCTTGTGCTTTTCTAAAACACGGACTCCACAACACTTCTAAATTTGGACCCAGTCTAATTTAGGACAATAGAATAGTTTGAAAGAGCCTACCTATGTGGCATGGTGGCAAGAGGACACTTGAATACATTTGGCATTCAGAAGAGCCACTTTTAAACCGAGCAGCGAACGATCCAGTAATGCAGCATTTTTAAATGGGGTACATTTTTGAATTACAACCACTGGAAGGGTTGACAGCTCTGGATTAAGAGTGAGCCACTACAGGTCATGAGCTCTGTACCTTGCATGAGGTGAAGAAATGGACGAAGCTAAAGAAACTAGATTCTATAATGGGATTCTGGTAAGGATAGCTTCTGGAGACCTTTGTAGGGAGGTGTTTCAGACACATCCCACCGGGAGGAGACCTCAGGGCGGATTCACTCGAGAGATTATATCTCTTAGCTGGCTTTGGAACACCAACGAGACTGTTGGAGGAGGTGGAACGGGTCCCTGGGGAGTATAGGTCTAAGGATCTCTGTTTAAGCTGAGCTAAGTAGCAGAAACTAGATGTATGGACACGTGGCTGGATAAAATGAAGATATATTTCCAGTTTCAAACTATCTTGAACCAATTACTGCTTGTAATTTCTTTTGTTTGAAACAAGAATTCTCAGCACATGCTGTCCTTTGAAGACTAAATAATTTGATTTAACTACTTCAATTCTTCTAGAATCACTCCAGTTGTTCAGAAACCTTTTCACCCTAACATACCTGGATCAATCCTAAAAGGTCTACAGGTACAACAGCTACACCTGAAATCCCACAATTCCTCTACAAACTACGGAAACCAACTTTTACAAATGTTGCCAGAGTTAGCACAGAGGCTGGGGATCACCGCAGCACATAATGAGGACAGATATTTGTTTAGAAATAAATGGACACAGGGTATTCAGCTGGGGCTGTATCCCGATAATCCAGGAACAACCCAGGCATGAGCAAAAATAAACTTACAGGTTGAACAAAGCACATCCTCCAAATTAGTTACTGAGGAGGACAGAACAATGCTTCAAACCTCCTAATGCATAAACACACTGCAGCCCTCCGGTAACGCATGCTGAAATATGGCATACTTAAACATAGGGCCTCTGAGACAGTAATCACACACACACACACACACACACACACACACACACACACACACACACACACACACACACACACACACACACACCCCTCTCCTGCAGAGGTCCCCTCACTGATGACTAATGTGTCTCTAGGGATCACTTCATTTCTTTATCAGGACATTACGCTGGTGCAAATGAATGGGGACATCTATTCTGGACTGCAGTTTGTTTCTGAACAAAGGAGAAAAAGATTTGTGAGGGACTGAAGGAGACAGAGGAGGACGGGGATGGGGGAAAGACAGATAGAAGATTAGAGAGAGAGAGAGAGAGAGAGAGAGAGAGAGAGAGAGAGAGAGAGAGAGAGAGAGAGGGGGGGGGGGAGAAAGAGAGAGAGAGAGAGTGTGTGTGTGTGTGTGTGTGTGTGTGTGTGTGTGTGTGTGTGTGTGATTAGAACATTAGAACTGATAGAGGATCGTAGGAGTGGAAATGTCTCTCTGTGTTCATGACTTTGTCAGCTGAAGGTGGCAGTCTCATTGGCAGTGGGATTAGGTGATTGATTGGGTGAATTAGGAGGCGTATTAATAAACCTCTCAAAAGTCCACCTCCTAATGAAGTGCCAGCTCATATGAAAACACAGGAATAGATCGGGGTTTTTATTGGGCCAAGTAAATTCTCCTAACTTTAAAGAGTCCTGGAATTATTTTATGGTACAAACTCAGTTCAATGTCAGTTGGATTTTTTTTAATAAGGAACAAAAAACAGGTTAGCTGTTTTACATGAAAACTCAAATAGAACTAAAGTCACAGGGCTGAAACACACGTCTTTGTATATTTTTGACGCATGCGTTTCAGAGTTTTTACCACTATCATCTGTATCGGTGCGACATTATGGTCTGTAATTGTCAAACAGACTGAAAGGAGATGCGTGCCAATGTTATTGGGGCCAGCTATTTCCATATGAGTCTATGACTTGTTGCATTTCAAGCATTTCTGTGCAATATTATTTTTGCATGCACTGATTATCAAATAATAACGTTGCAACATATTTAAAAGCCCCTTTCACACTAGCATGGTCTGGATAGCATGGAGAACTTCTACATTAGCATAGCCTGCCTTTTTTCAGGGTGTAACCAGACTGCTTTTCAGCCCTCTTCCTGAGGTGGTCTGCTCCAGGCTGGCCAGGGCCAGCACACCCACTGCTGAATGATAAGCCAGCTTATTCTCACATTTTCCATTAGGGGAAGCCTCTGACTGGTGGGTAATCAGCCCACCTGGGCTTACAGCATTATCCTGCTGATTACCTAGGAGCTGAGAACTTCTCAGACTGCATTCCTTGCATTACTAAGCAACAGATGTGTGGAATCAACTGGGCCAGGCTGGGGCTATCCGGGCGGTGTGGAGCCGATGCTACTGTGAAAGGGGCATGATGGCCCTTGTTCTGGGCCACAAAGTGGAACCACACCTTTAGTGATGGATCATGTGATTCATCCCATGTAAATGA